AAAATTACTTATTGGTTTGCCAACGTTGCATCTGACCCAGTATGGTCGCAAGGTCAAGGGCGCGGAAAACGAGGAATGTTTCATATGTACTCGAGTTAATCGCTTCTGTCAAGGAACGGGCTCACTGATCCAGGTCGATATGATTTGGTCCCTTATCTAACATGTCAGCCCATCACGTTTCTGATGATAAACATTCTTTATTGTCGCTGACCTTCGGCATATGATGTTCTGACCGAATCCGGTTTCGAGTCTGTATCGAGGTGCATTCCGAGCCTCCGTACCTCGGCCCGCTCGCTGATTCGCTAAGTTCATCCACTGAGCAAAGTCGCGCGCGACTCTACCTTCGCGGTCTGGAGCCTGCCGAACATCGTTTAATTGTGCCAGAGAAACTCTGCAGCAAGTGGCAAACGGATCAGCTGATTTGACGTATCCAGTGGATGCTAGAGAAAACAAGGATCCACAATTCGACGATAGATTTGATTGCATACTGAGGAATGTTAATAGACCCCTGCTAATATTCCTAATCGTCTGAATATTCGTTTCATACATTAATGATGTCAACGTAACGCAATAATGAACTAATGTAACAAAAATCAAAGGTCGTTGAACAATTGGACGCCGTTTGCGGTGTTGAATGTTAAGTGACACTGAGTAAACGCGGGAAACGCCTAACTTCACATGAATGAGAATCCTTAGTTAGATATATAATGCCAATAAAACACCGTTATTATAACACAACCCTGTAAGACAAGCTGGGAGTGGTGCTAATAAACTAAAAGTCCAATAAATCATGCTCCACCAATTTGGCCATATGAAGATTAGGACAGTTAACGTAGATAACAATATGGTAATAATATTTTCATAGCAGAGAAGGAAAAAGCTGGAAGTTAGCAAAAGGCACCTTTTTGTAAAAAGTGGCTTGAAGAAGCTCCTTGGAATGGCCGAAGACTTTTCGCAGAAACCGAGCCAAGCGCAATTGAATAAAAATAGACGAGATAACTTTTTCTCAGGATGGCAGATCAACCACCAGACGGCCAGTCGGTCTCACGTATCTCCCTCGATGAAACTTTATGCTTTTAGGATACAAATGATGTCTCTATTTGACAACAAAAGCTCTTTTCAATCAATACCGATGAATTTATTTTTGAAGAAGGCCTGTGAGACATAAACCGAAAAACCGGCATAAGATGACTCTCCCAATGAACGCAGCTGCCGTATACTCCATCAAGCAATACGCGTCAAGAAATGCCAAATGGTACTTAAGAGGAATTAAACTTTGTGCTTTGGTGCCACAGGATCATGAACGAGCCGGCTCTGTCGATTACCTGAGAAAAACCTGAGAAAGAGTCAGCTAAACTCAAAGACGGACACCGGGCCTGATAGAACAAAAAAGAGAATAAAAATATATTCAAAACTTTTCTCACTTGGTAACCGTCCACTGACCCCACACGTACTGGACACAATACAGTGTGATAAAACCTCTCGTTGAGGCAGCTTTTTTTCCGTAAAGCAATAATACTTGTCTCGCAGCAAGGTATATTGCCTAATGCCAATACGAAATGCCATTTCTAACTGGCAGATATCATAAATCTGTGTCACTTTGCCGTTTAAGCTGTTTGCTTCAGACGGTGACGACAAAGCGAAAACAACTTTAAACTGAAGTATTCTGTCAGTGATGGCAGCTATGAGCAAAACTGAGGATCGAATACCTCATCAGAGATATTTTAATACCTTCCAGACCGGTTTTTCACCTTCACGGAATGCCGCAGCATGAAGGTCATTCAATCAAGTGGTCGTATTACATGAACAGTCTATGCGTCTCCTGGCATCACCCTTGGTGCAGAAATCAGGTTCTGCGCATCTCAACTCTCGTCATTACCTTCCATACGACAGAATAAAACTGTGCACTAGAGCAGTCAAGGAACGTTCACCTCAACGAAGTGGAACCAAGGTGAACCAGGGGTGATGCGGATGATTGCCGCAATGTGAATGTCCATCTGGACGCCATGATTGGACTCGTGTTTTACAGAACATCAATTCGTAACCATCATCTATTGCAGGCCGGAACATGCTGACCCTTTAGCTCCTGATCAGCTACACTCAAAACCTCAACGTCATCCTTAGAAACGTCATCAGGACGATCACAGGATAGCTGCACAACGCTCATTTGCCATAGTGGCTCGTTCTCTCGAGCATTTCTCCGCCTGAAACCCAAAGACATGAAAATCGTCTGCGAGATGACCAAGAGCTCTAGAACAGAAAATAGAGCCGATCCATCAACAGCCGCTTAACCAAACAATCCCTGAACGTTTTTGGAACCTGTTTACGATTACCGTAAATAACTTGAGCAATATTGCATCATCTGCAAGAGGTCATGTTTGATTTTGAACTGGTTTGCATTTTCATCGATACCAGACGCATCGTTCTTGTAAATTATGGCAATGAGGTTTCTGCGTATGCTCCGGATTCCCTATTTAATCCCAATTCAAATCAGTTGTAGGCTCAGTTGACGGCCTTCTTGAAATTTAAAAATTCCTAGCAAAGATTATAATCTCTGCTCATCTGTGCCTCCCGATGTGCTCCATCTTCATAAAGCCACTTTTCAGTTCAACATGCTCCTGTCAAATCGCATAGCAGCTAATTAGTGACGTTGAATTTTACGCTTTGGATCTCGTACTGTAGCATTGCTTACCTATTTGCCAAAATTCCATCACCTCTGTCAGAGGCTACTAAAAATTCGACCAATGCTCGGACACATTCTCTTCCAAATGCCCATCGTCGAACAAATGTAGCTCTAATCTGCCGGCTGTAACAGTTAAATTAGATATGTTGTTAAAAGTCATTCCTGTATTTTTCTGGGCTTGAACTTAAGACGCTCCTATCATTTCGCAGTCCAAGCGAATAATCGGTTCAGTTTTGAGAAAGAGGTTTTTTACGCCACAGGAGATATTTATTATGAGGTCCACGTGAAACAACTTGCAGATCGATGCGCTGCGGACTCCTTGCTCAGTCAATTCCCAGAAACGCCTGTGTGACGCCAGCTGAGGTCAGAGAAAAGCCACTCGTCACATCTTCTGAGGAATTGACCATAATGACTGGTTAACTTAGTTCTGTTCATTCGTTTTTGTGTTACTGCAGGTGGCTCAGAGTAAGCCACGTGAAGTGATGTTCATGATCATTCGCCAATCGCATCTCTTCGCTCGCCGAAGTTGCGCCCGTCACTGAAAAACTAGCAGGTGCAGCAGCTGCTGTGCACGTGGCATGAAAGAGGTACTAACAACAAAGAGTGCCGCCTCTGAAACTCAAACTTGTCTCATTCTCGCCACGATGAAAAAAACGAGGAATGGAAGAAGATGCAGATAAAAGTGAAGATTAGAAATGAAATGAGTGAAGAGAAAACAAATGGAAATATGAAGAAAAAGAGAAAGAGGAGAAGAAAACACAGAAGAAAAGGATCGAGAAGGTTAACAAAGAGAAGAAAGAAAAGTCGAAGAAGGCGAAGAGAGAAAGGCGTAAGAGAAGAAACACAGGGAAACAGTGAAAGATGAAATGAAGGAAAAGAAGGAAATTGAAAAGGAAAATAATGAGGCCGAATTTAGAAAGAGACTGATATGAAAAAGAAAGTGAAGAAGAAAAAGAGAAGAAAGAGATTATGCAGAAAACAGGTAAACGTGATGTGAAAACGAAGAAATAGGTGAGAAGGGAACTGCTGGAAAAAAGAAAAGCAGTCGAAAGGAATGATGACTAAGTAAAGCAAAAATATGCACTACCTCATACCAATTTGAATCTCAGCTACTACTCAAATGTGCACGGAAGTTGAGCGTTTGGAAAAATAGGAAGTTCAAAAATGGTTTGTTAATAAGGCTAGGAGATGCGACAGAAAAGAAGACCATGAAAGAAAACTGTGAAAAGTTTAATCGTTTGAGGCTTCAGAATTGACTGCTTTAAACAAGTTGTCAAAGTTACGCCAGAAATTAAAAATTGATAAAAAGCAATAGAATAAAAGCCGGTTGATTTCAGCCTTGCTTTCTCGTGGAATTTCTACTAGTGAGTGTGTATTGAGAAACAGATTCAACTCATCGATGAATTTGTAATAATTGGCATGCAAGGGGCAAATATTCAATGTGTTTCGTTTCCGCTGCCGCCTCAGAAGTTCAGATATCTTGCATCCCATCGCGGAGGCTATCAGCCGCTGAGAAATCCGCAAATTTCTAGTTAACGTTGCCATTCACTTCTGACAACAGGGTTGAAGAAAAAGATGCCTTTTCGCAGCCGTGGTGTTGCAACGATCCAAAGTAGAGTGACTATTCTGGGGGGGTGGGAAGTCAGATCAGCGAGAAAATGCCCAACTCGACAGTAAACATCGAACCCCATGTAGTCGTTGAGTCATTTATCAGCCTTGGGTGTGCTTTGCGTGACTCAAGACCTCAGTCAAGAGTTCTGCTGAGGTTCATTGTACCCATGGTTGATTTGTAATTTGCATGGACGACCGTAGATCTCGGTGAGAGCTTTGAAACTGTTTGTTCTGTGTGGTGCCGAAGGCCGTTCAAAGGATTTATGGCAGAATGTTCGAAGGTGAGTGCTGGTTCCTGGTGTCGTACTAAGACCAAACAAACGTTCTTGTGACGACGCACATTAGATTGTTGTGCCAAGTTCGATCGAATACGGTACGTTTTTGAATCTTCAGCGGATGCAACACGCTTTTGGCACCCGTTGCTTTTCTGCAACTCAGCGCCGTTGTCTGGTCACTGACGAAACATGATCATCTATTAATGGTTATTCTTGATAGGCACCATAGTGCATAGGCACTTCGCTCATGGCTCGATTAGCTTTGACGATTTTGCGAAATGAATTGCGACCGACCAGCATTAATGAGCCACTCATCGTTTGACAGACGCAAGGAAAAAACTCAGGAATGCGCCTTCGAACACTTTTAGACGCTTGATAGCTACATCTGTTCATTTTTTGCATCATTACGGAATGGTACTCGTATGCGAACAATGGTGAGGCACAAGTCCAAGTCAAATCTGAGCATGACTGACACGTTGAGCATCGATGGCCTCGTTTTCGCGAACATTCGTCGCTTCCTCAAGCGTGAACCGACTCGAACACTATACTTGATTCGTCGTCATTCCGGGTTAAGTGCAGTTTGAATACGAGAAATATGCAAAAGGTTTACGGTGAAGAGGTGAGGGGGGGGGGACCTGGCCGACGACGGTTTCTCTTTGTAGCTCAGCATAATGCCTTAGAGGAGGTAGTTTGACCGCATGTATACGGAACAAGCTGCGGGCGAAAATCTGTTCTGTGCAACTTCAAATATTGTACAAATTGGACTTCATGGACCATAAGATAAGTTGGAAGGTGGACGAATCAACGCAAAACGCAAAAACGAGGAACAGGCGTCGACCGCCGTTGGGGCGTTGTCGTCGAGAGCGGCACCGGGCGCGGCGAATCGTGGAATTGGACGACATTCTGGAGGCACCCGTTTTGGCGACATCTACAGTCGGACTGACCGCATTCCTGTGACAACGTCAGGCGAGATGAGACGCGCTCATGAACCATTGCCGTCGCAGTCAAGAACATGTGACGAATGGCACGACCCCGCTGTCTAGGGGTCATTCGCGACTGCGACCGCTGCTCACATCAGCTGATCGGTAAACACCGACCTGGCATATGCCAGACGTCACCCATGGTGCTACTCAGCCTCTGATTTTGTGCCGCGTCCCCTAGTGCCGAATGGCTTGGTTGGTCACCCACATGACCGATGAACCGGGCCTTCAGAGTTGCAGCGAAATACACCGACGGCCAAGATCCGAGGGCCAAATGGCCACAGGACCAATTTTTAAAAAATCGCCCAACGCTATTAAGCGAGGATTGCGAACCGCCACGTCGCGAAACATCCATCGTCCAACGAACATGACCTCAGTCACATGTTTGTTTGCGTTCATTCACCCGATTCGGTGTTTATACGCTCCTTACTCCGTGTTCAAACGAAACACCTGTAGATTCGTCACGTGTTTACGAAACGTGGCTTCGTGAGGATCGGTGTAACTGCAACTACCTTGACAAGTCCAAACTTGAGGCACACCTTCAAGTGAACTTCGAGCTCGAATGACCGGCCAGACACGAATCTCTGCATGCACGGATGATCGTGTATTTCAAATATTTACGCTATACGGAATTCAGAACTTAATTAGCGCTCTGGATGACATCGTTGAGGGATGTCGAAAAGTAGGAAAACCACTTAAATGCAGGAAATCATAGCAGAAAGAAAATAAGGTGGTTTTTCTAACGAATGCAGTCGCTTCTTTGATCCTGTTGCAAAAGTTTCGGTCAGCTGCCATGAAATGCGCAAAGGATTTTCTGGTAGGTCGTCTACTACCAGAATTGCTACCATAAGAGTTCAGTCATGACGATGAAAGATTCAGTGTTCAACATATCACAAAGCAAAAGAAATTAAGTAAAGACCTGTTGTGTATAAGGAAAAACGAGGACAATCGGAGATGAAATGATGACTCGCCAAACTGTCCATCTATCCTTTTCCTCAGTCAGCTGTGCCTTTCACATGTTCAAGGACGATTCGTCAGAGGTCATGCTTCAGCCATCAATCGCGCAGACTCCAGGGACTGGATTCCAATCAACGAGAATGCCAAGGATTCAATATTTCACGGCCATCGAGACGCTGGCCGTATGGTTTACGTGTTAAAAATAATTTACCGATGTTCTCATCACGTGTCTCCAAGCGAGAACAGTTCTGCGCTGTCAACCTGAAGTAAAAACAGTTCAAAACTGAGGGAGGTCTATTCGAGACGCTTCACTTTGAAAACCCTGCGTCGAAAGCTAATTTTTTGCTTGACCCAGAAGGCGATCGTCTGACCAACGCTACAAACATTGGTCATTGCTGAGGGTAGCTGGGTGCACAGACTTGAAGATAAATTGCTTCGAAAATTGATCGTAATTATAACAGACCAAATTTCTTAGTCGCATATCTGGCTGTCCCAAATTTAAGCAAACACACACTTCAGTGGTCACTGAACGTAAACAAGGCGCACGGCGTTCGGCGGATAGGAAAGCAGCAGACGCCCTCTGTTGCGGCTAATTGAACCGATCGGGGTTCAGCACTTCGATCAAGCAGACCAAGTTTACAAAGGTTCCGTCAAGGTCCCAAAGCCACTCATCATACAAGTCAACTTGAATCGAATCTTGGTACAATTCATGGTTAATTCCTCTAGCAGGAAAACGCTGATTGCGATAAAACACCATGGAACCACGATGTCTCAACCAGCTATGAGTGAGGAGCGGTGCAGTGCGTCGTGAAAACTAGACTCTAAGGAGTTATGCACTATAAAACTCACGTCGGAACTTTGCCATTACTTGTGCCCAAACGTACTGCCTGCTGTGATCGTTGCCTTGAGGCATTTGCAACAGCAGAACGTCTCTGATTTGTGATATCTGTTGTATTCTCAGCTTTTGAACGTTTTGACTACAACGCGTTCGTTATTGCATTACAGAACGAACAACTATAGCAACTGCAACAGCTCGTCACCTGGGAAAGTTTCATTGCTCAATGTCCCTGCTTTTAAAGACCTAGAATCAGGATCAGTACTCTTCTACCTTGGACAGAACTTTACCAATTTGAACCAGCGATCCATTCTGCCTTTCTTCGCAAGGTCCGGAGAGATTCAGAGCTGCATGGACAATTACCTATACATAGTACACTGACCTGCCAGTAAACTTCTGTGTATATGTTACTGTCCAGGTGAGTTACGACCTCCAACCTTTAAGGAAGAGAAAGTCAAGGAAAAAGACAACTCGCTATACGTATTAGAAGGTATTACAATGAGCAGCTGGCAGCGCAGATGGAAATGTCAACATAGACAAACTGACACGGAATTCATACATCTTCAGTTCCTGATAATGTTGTCCGCCTTAAGAAAGGAAGGTAACATGAAGCAAATGTTCTGATTGGTCATTTTACTGGATTTGCCATGTTTGCACCGTTTCTCAAAGGACGTTATTTATATCTATTTCCTGACATCGCCCCTGAAGCACGATTCTGTCATATCTTTCGTCCATCCTGACCCTAAGTTCGTCACTCCTTGTTCAGAGGATGGTAGGCTAAACAAAAGGATTCATATGATTCCTTCAGGGAACAAGACAAACGGCGGCCTCCATGCGTACGTTCACCAGACTGCTTGAAAACCAGAAACTGGACAAGTGAAAGAAACGTTTTAGACAAAGCTGCGGATAGATCATAAGAGTAGTGAACAGATTTGACTTCTGATCTGTCGGAATATGTAAAAGTTATTCTGACCGCATACAGGTATGCGTTACTGCTAGATCGACAATCTAAATGGCATATGATTAAACTATCCAACCGTGGGCATTCCTGTAATTATTAATTATTAAACGTCACGGCATAGCATGGAGTAAAAGCTTCAAAGCTCCAATCGAAAAGCTGCGAGCATAGCGAACATCACAAACCAGAGAAGTAATGCTTGTGCAAACATCTTGAGGGGATGATCTCGAAAGGCATACACCCTAATCGTGGCTAGAAACGTAGGTAGTCCAATAGTGAAGCTTTGATCTTACGGAGTTCCGGACCCGCAGAAAACCACCTCCATTTGCAAGTGAGGCGCACTATTTACTGCAACTAGGCAGATCTGGTTGTTTATGTGTTAACTCACCTCTCCCTCTCGTCAGAATCACAGTCTTTCGCGCGAGCTGACGGGGAGGAATAGCCGTGTTGAATTTCCAGCTACTCCCCGAACAGCTGGTGGCACCCGCATGAAGCGAAGGCGATAGAAGAAGACGAAACCAGTCAAACATCGGTATCGAGCGAGCGGCTGCGCCTGTCTCGACGGTGACGA